CATCACAGATTTCAAATTAAACTTGCTCATCTAAGGCATCTTAACTTTATCAGAGCCATAACTTAATAGGGAATCAATTAATGTTGAGCAAGTTTTTTTTAAGGCGCTCAAATATTTATAGTCTTATATTCTCTAGAGCAGAAATGTAAAAATCACCACTGTCCTTAAAGAGAACAGAATTACAAATACATAATACCAATTGCTTTTCTGTCAATATATTTAAATTCTGCAACCTTAATATTGCATAAATTTCTCGATGGTTTCCCCTAGTTCTATTATTTTTCATTCTCCTACTCGGAGGAAAAAAAAAAATCCTAAAAACAAAAAACTGTAGGATAAGAGACAGTATGCATGTGTTAGCAGAAGGTGTGAAAAATGGAAAGAGAATTGGAGAGGTTATCAGAAGATCTGGACTGAAGACCACACTAACTCTGGAGTTTAGTCTGCCCCTTCTATATATAATAAAGAGATAATTAGACTTTAAAAAGACTGGTAAATTTCAAGCTAATACATTTTATCCTAATTTATGTCTTTGGAATAAAGAATTTTAGTGTTCACTAACCATTTCCAGTTCACATAAAAATTACAACCCAGAATGAATTTATTAAAGAAATGTAGTAAACTTGAAGTTCTAATTTAAAAAAATCTCAACTAAGTATGATTTTTAAAAAATGGTATCTTAGTATTCCCTCCTCTAGTTTTATAAGCCTGTTAATCACTTTGATAGCACAAGTCTAAAGAATGTCCAGTAATGTCAACCATAATAAGTAAAAAGAACATATTAGAGTTCTGTTTTGTATTTCTACACAGGAATATCTTTAGCTACAAAGAATGGTATTCATCCAAAATATCAAATATGGCAACAAATGTAAATCATCAAATCAGGGATTTGCTCCTTCAAAATCATCACTCTACAGTACTAAAATTAAAATATTTGCTAAGATACAAATGAAGCAGAATTATCATATGACCCAGCAATCCGACACCTATCTATTTAAGAGAAATAAAAACATATCTCCACACAAAAACTCATAAGTGAATATTCAGAGCAGCATTTGTCCTAAAAGGTCAAAAGTGAAAGTAACCCAAGTGCCTATTAGCTGGGGAGGATAAATAAAATGGGGTATATCCATACAACGGAATATTTGGCAATAAAAAGGAAGTACTGATACATGCTAAAACATGGATGAACCTTTTCATTATGCTAAATGAAAAAAAAATCCATCACAGAGGACCACATATTGTATGATACCATTTCTATGAAATGTCCAGAATAAGCAAATCTAGACAGGAAGCAGATTAATGGTTGCTGGGGGGAGTGGGAAGGATTACAAGGTTTCTTTCTAGAATGACGAAAATGTTCAATTTGATCATAGTTCCACTCTGTAATTACACTAAAACCACTGGATTATATATAACAGGTGAACTATATAGAATATAAATTATATCTTAACAAAGCTGTGTAAAAAATACAAATTATGGCATAAACGAATCTGGCAAGAGACAGATTAAGATTTGTAGGTTTGTAGACAGGGTTCTGGGTTTAGGTAGCAAAGGTGGACCTGATGGTAAATTCAGTGCTTCAGATTCTAGAAGTTTGTGCTAAAGGTTTCTCTACCCTAGCACTCTAGGAATTAGGACTTCAAATTCATTTCCCCATAGGGGAGAAAATTAGTCAGTTCTTCTGATCCTATTTCCTTAACTGCCTCCAAAATTCTAAAGTTTATCATCTTTAGGACAAACTGATTAAGCCAAACCTTCCCTTCCCCAAATCTTCAAATCTGGTGGCTTTAACAAGGATAAGAACCCTTCGTGCCATATTTCCGGGGTATTTCAGATAATCAATAGGCAAACATATCTATGGAAAAACAAATTGGAGTGAGGATAAAGAATCAAGAGGCTGACGTCTAAATAAGACCATAGACTGACTAGACGTAAAAACCACACAGTGATATAAACAAAGTAGAAATATTCTAAAGAATTAAATATTTTATAAAGCCAGACTTCTTATAAAAGTCATATTCTATGGCATTTCTTAAATGACTGAATAGAAAATTAAATTACCAGCTGATTATATCTGGAGGAGTGATAATTCTAATGCAGAGCCAAGGCCACAAAACAGCTGTGTGATCTAGAGGAAGTTATTTAATTTCTCAAAACCTTAAATTTTCTCAATTTCAAAATGGGCTAAGTAATAGTACCCACCTGAAAAGGCGGTCATGTGAAAAAATATATTCCACATAAACACTGAGGATAGTGCTTGCTGAGCAGTAAGAGTGGAATACTGTTTCCCTATGTTATGTGAAAATCTGTTTTCATCACGCATAACTGATTGATTATAAAGGCCCAGAAAGATAACAATCTATAACAACTAATCTTCATACTTAATTAATTATTGTATTTAATATATCTAGGCAGAGTAACTAAAAAGGGTTCACAAATAAACTAGAAAAGTGTTAAAAAAAATCTGGGTTCTGCCTCTTGTGACCTTAAAGAAATCACTACTTCTCTTAACTGCATTTAACCAATTCCAAAAGATCCTATGAAAGTTATAGGATCTATTGACCAGATCCTATAAAGTTTAATTTCAATTCCAGCAATAAAAATTTTAAAAAAAAGTGTTTGGGAACCATTCCCCTCTAAAGGCACTCATTCTAGACTAGCAAGATTGTTTTAGCTGACTGCATAGCTTTGCATGTTATTGACTAATAAAGACAAAACCCCCAACCCTCACCACTATTAACTTAAGGGATAGCCCCTTCCCTTAATTTATTTTAACCTTGAAAATTACCTACCAAATCCGATTCATTTTTCCTCTTAAATCACTATTTGCCTCATGTCAGTACTGCCCCCTTCCAGTCTAGGAATCTGCAGCCCACGAGGAAAGCTGCACTGACTCGATGGATGAATAAGTCACTTGATGTGGAGTAAGTCGACAATGTGTAACACTGTGCAGACAACTCCACAGTCACGGTGACAGTCGCTTCCATTGCTTGAGAACTGCCACCAGCCAGGGTATAAGACAAGCACCACGTGCATTACATAATCACAACGAACTAAAATATTGTTATTCCCATTTTACAGACAGGATCAGAGAGGTCTGAGGACCCATTCAAGGTCACACCTGACAGTGGAGATGTCACGATTCAGACTCGAACGTTTTGTTTTGTATTGGGTTTTTCCCCCTGAGACCAAGCTCTTTCCAGTACACGGCTATGCTCGCGCCTCTCGGGAGCGCTTCTTGGAAACGCAGCCCTCCCCCCACCCACCGGAACAAATCCACAGGTGTGCCGCAGGTGCCGCCCGCCCGGTCCCCTGCCTCGCCAAGGCTTGGACGGCCTGGCCTCTCAGCTCCCTCGTCCCTGGGCCTCGCTCCAGACGGGAGCTCCAGCTGGCCCAGCCCTTCCGACCCCCGCACCCCATTGTTCCCGATCTCACTCACCTCGGAAGATGCTGGCGCAGGCCGAGCTGGGGCGCTCGTCGCAAGCTCCCGGCGGCCCAGAAAGCTAGGTCGGTGACGGCAGGATCCGCGAAGGCGTACCCGGCGACTTCTCCGCCGGCCCTCAGGAGCGGGAGCAGGCGGAGGCGCTTCACCCTCCTCGCGAGACAGCGGAGCCCCTGGCGGCTGCTGCGACCCCTGTGACGTAAAGCGCTCATCACCAATGGCAGCTTGGGGGCGGCGGTAGGAGCAAAGCCCACCCCGCGGCCCCCGGCGCGTCAAAACACAACACCCGCCTGCGTAACGCATGCGCAGTAGAAAGGCGCCGGCAATGAGGGCGGGGCTTACGCGCCCGGCCAGAGCCCTGGCCCTTCACCCACCGCTCCCTCTGTTCCTGGAATGGGAGTAACAAGACACAGAGGCAGAAATCTTTATCACCGTCATCCTCGTTACTACCAATCTCCGGGGTAACAGGGACACTAACTTAATGTTCGCTCCTAACTTACCCGGAAAACACGATAACTAGTTTAGTCTCATTTAAACCTCACCAAACTCTGCGAGAAGTTAACTAAAACTATCTCCAGTGTATAAAAGAACTGAGTTACACAGAGGTGAAGTGACTTTACCTTCTGTTGCACAGCTAGGAAATAACACCAGGATCAAATGGAACCCAAAGCGAGAGCTCAAACAGAATCCTACATAGTGTTCGGAGAGAGAGATCTACTCCAGGCTGGGGATGAACAGTGATTAACTCCAAGAGAACAGAGCCTTGAAATCTGCCCAAACAGATAACGCTTTCTCTCCACTCCCCCTTGTGCCACTCCCCGAAATCAGGATTAAAACCCTATTTTAGACGACATCTGAGATGTACAGAGAAAGAACGTCTGAGTCTAAAGGGGCCCATTGCTCCATTCTACCCTCTGGCCTCAGATGGGAGCGTCCCAAACATTCTAGAACTGAATTTGGTAGAACCCGCCAAGTGCCAACCACCAACCTTTGACTTAATATTTGATAACGTGCTACCGTTCTAAGCACATAATAAACGCTCAGCAAACACTTGTTGATTGGCAGGTACATTATGCCAGGTAATCGGTGCCAAGTTACTTCTCAGAAGTTATCATTTACATCAACGAGCCGCTGCGATCTGTTTCTTGAAGAAGGGCTCAATTAACAGATTCCCACGATTCGTCAGTTATATAAAAGTGGGTGGCATTTTTATTTACGTCAAAGATGAATATATGAACGCCTATCAATATAATGTGGGAACAGATGCGAGACAGAACGTGAATTCTTCCAGTATTAGACACCGGTGTAGTATTTAAAACATGGATTAGTTTTTCTTATACGCTTTTAAATGTACTTTACGGTACATTATCCTGCATTACCACTGCTCTGCAACGAACAGACCAACTGACGAGGTACACTTACCTAGTGGCCAACAAACCATTTTTAAACATTTTCTCAGTTATCTCATTCCGTCCCTGAAAGGCGGGCTAGGCCTGCGATCACGTGAGCCCGCCCCCAGCTCCGGGCGGAAGAGGCCGACCCTGCGGGTGGGAAGCGCTACCGGAGGCGAGTGGGCGGGCGGCTGTGCCAGGCTGAAAGATGGCCGCTGCCGCCACCGCCGCCGCCCGGCAGCCGCCGCCCCGGAGGTTACTCTAGGGCCTGCAGGTTCTGCGCGTTCCCGCGGACCGTTGTCGCGTTCTTACCATGAAGCCAGTGAGTCGCCGCACCTTGGACTGGATTTACTCGGTGGTAGGTCCCGGCTCTGGTGAGGCTCCACGGTGTCGACTCCCTAGGCCCGTAGGCGAAGCCCCCCTATTCCTTCAGCGCCCAGAAACTCTAAAATCCATTCCTGAATTAAGCATTTCACTCCCTTCACCTTGACTCCGCCTCTTCCTGGATGATACGCTCTTCTGCTTCTTACGTAAGGACAGCTGGGTGTACTCGCTGCCGGAATCCCTTATTGGAGTTTGTCACTATAATTTCCACCTTAGCAACGTACATGGCAACCTATGGGGGACGAAGAGAAGTAACACTCACAATACAGTGAATTTTTTGCTTCTACTTCCCCTTTTCCATTTTTTTTTTCAGTTGCTCCTCGCGATCGTATTACTCTCCTGGGGATATGTAATCTATGCATCAACAGTAGCTGCTCGACGACAGCTAAAGAAGGAATACCCTGACAAAATCTTCGGCATGAATGAAAATTTGTAATTCCTCTAAATTTTATTGTATGCAAATACTTCTCTGGCACGTGTCTAGATTTAAAGTAAAATCCATATAGTTTCCAATTTTATTTTTGCTTATCGTGCTTTATATTAACCACTAATGTGCTAATTTTTCAACTATTTATGTTTGTCTTTTACATTCTCATGTAACAAAGCAGTCTAGATCAGACAGCTTTTGAGTATCAGATCATAGATGGAATGACATGCTTTTCAACTTATAGTTTATAAAATACTTTTTAAATGCCTCCGAAAGCCACCTTTAAAACAAGTGTGTGGAATTTCTATTCTTATGTTTATTGTAACATTTCATTCTGTTGCATATGTACACATCAGACTAGATTAAGTATCATGTAAGAAAAAATCTGTCTTGTGACTATTTTTCTACATCCTGTTTTTCAAGTCAAGAACAGCCAGAAAAAGTAGGTGATGGCTCTTATATTTTGTTAGCGTGTCCAGTTTTTACTTATTATTAATCAAGAGTCTCAAATTGTACAGTTTTTGAGGAGAAATAAACAACACATATCTGAGAGTAAACTTTATTAAAGTTACTTTTCCAGAAAATACATTCAGTAAATATGGTAATGTAGCAACTTGGGCTCATATGCCTTTGAAATTTTAAAGTAATCTTCAATGATGTTGATTAGGAAATTCTTTCATGGGTGGAATTACTTCTCCAGTCTCCAGAATTGTATCACCCTAGGAAAACAAACATGTGTTAGTACAAAAATCTTGTCTGCAGAGATAAATCCACCTGATCAGACCTCACACCAAAAATCTAGTTCAGCTTTGGCATTCATACTATAAAAGGGACTTAGACAAAGTAGAGGCAGTCTAAAGATGAGTAACTAGTATTCAAAATATTAAGGTATAAGTGAAAGAATAGGGGAGGTTCCCCTCAAAATTACTAGAATGGGCATGAAAGTGGTCTCTTCACAAAGTGATAAAGAGATCATGTTTATTTTGCATGACCCCAAAAAATAGAAGCCCTAGAAGTTACAGAGAAACACCTTCAGCTCAATATAAGCGTGTAAAGTATTCCCAGCAACTAAATGTGTTAGGCAATCACCAGTTGACCATTTGTTTCAGATATTAGAGACAGAATGAATGCAAACTTTGCCTAAGCAGCTGATTCATGTGTCTTTTCAAACACAGCAAGGGCCATGAGCTTTAGAGCCAGAACCAAGTGGTGAGAATCCTGTAACCTCCACTGACAAGCTATATGATTATAGGCAAATTACTTAGCTTTATTTTCAGCTTTGTGTTCAAGATAGATTCTGTCAGCCTGACAGTCTGAATGACTGGGTAGAATAGAATTATGCCCCAGTCCCGACCCCTCCAATTTCCTGACCTGCTACAGCTTAGGACTGTTATCTGATGAAGAAATAAACTATCATGTTCAAGCCATTATACATTTGGGGGATAATTTGTTACCACAACTAGCATTACCCTAACACAGAAATTAGTATCCTGAAATGGTAGTAATGCTGCTGTAATAAAAACTGAAACACATGGCACTGACTTAGCAGTTTGAGGGCAAGGACACTGGCACTGGAGGCTAAAAGATGGAGCAATAACTTGGAAGCAGAATCTAATGAACTTGGGGTTCTAGGAGAGGTATCTGGGGAAAGTTATAGTATGTGTTTGACTACTACTTGCTCCCTTGGGAATGTATTTTAGGAAGCATGAGCTCAGGCAAGAAGTGGCTAATTTGAAAGGAGAAATAAAAATGGAGAATAAAAAAAATCAGGACCTTGTGGGATTGGAACATCAGTTTGCTTCTGAATCTCTAAACAGTTAACAGTGAAGAAATTCTGAGAAACAGAAGCCAAATAAAACTCAATAAACACAGGGACTCAGTCCTATGACAAAGATCAGACTGAAACGAAGGTAGCCTGTGAACCAGAGTCCCTTTCAGATGGCCTCCACATAGCTGCCACTGAGTTGAGAGGCAGTTTACTTGAGGACAAAGAAAGGACAGAACTTGGTAACTATGTATAGAAAGGATAGATGCATGGGGGACTGACTAGAAGCAAATAGACTCCTACCAAGTATTTTTCTTTTTATGCCTGCCAAATGTTGTGGGAACTAGAAAGTCAAAGAAACCAAATATATAGGCAACAAAGGCTTGTGAATGTTTCATCTTAAAACAACCTCTGGCACTCAACCTGTGTACAGGAGGCAGATTTAAAAGGCTGTACAACACTAAAAAGGGCATGCCTCCCAGAACCCATTTTAGATGTGGTCTAGGTTGATAATGGAAAAGAGAGAACCCCCATGGACAGAGCCGGGGGCCAGAAAACCAGTGAATAAAGGTTTTACTTACAGAAAACAAAACCATTGCCCATTCAAGACACTTCCTACTCACGAGGGTTAGGAGTCTTTATATTTGACCACAGATTTCAGAATTGTCAAGAATCAGTGATTGCACTGTCTGAATGCCACCACTGAAAAATGGATGTGTGTGGCGAGGGGAGGCCAGGGACAAGGGATACAGTTAACTTGCCTTCTTAGTTCATTGGTCCTCAAATCTCCAATAGAAGTCAAATCTAAACTTGACAGATAACTACTGTGCTTCATCTGGAAATCTTGGATTTGGTGCTGGTTCCACTGATGGAATGAGACTTTACGATTGCTCACTAGGGAAGGAACTGTGTTATAGAGAGGGGTGAAGGAAGCAAAGAGCTATTTGGTGACTAGAAGGATGGATTGTGGCAGAGGTTTCAGGCACAGGATGCTGGGAAATTTTTTTTAAAAAGCACATAGCTATTTGGGACAATGAGAATGAGTTCTGGCCAATAGGATCTAAGAGAAGTGATGTAAGTACTTCTGTGATTAGACCTTAAAAGAATACCACCGTCTACGGCCATGCCACCCTGAACATGCCGGATCTCATCTGATCTCGGAAGCTAAGCAGGGTCAGGCCCGGTTAGTACTTGGATGGGAGACCACCTAGGAAGACCAGGTGCTGTAAAAAAAAAAAAAAGAATCCCACCACGTCCAGCCCTCTCTTACCCTAACATGACCTTGGAAGCCTCATATTCCAGATGGCATAACTACAAGATTGAGGAAGATGGCCTGATCCACATTAGTTTGTGACATCAATAAGAAATAGACCTTTGTTTTATTAAGCCACTGAAATTTGGGTTTATGTTTGCCACTGCCTATTCTATTCTAATGTATGTACAAATGAGCTTTCTTCATGTCAGCAAACAAGAAGCTTCTCAAAGGGGTCAATGGCACAGAAATGGAAAAAAACCACAGTGGCAAAAATATAGAAGTAGGAGAAATGCCATGGAATCACTATGTGGTCTTCTAATGAAAGCCTTCCTTCTTTTCCTTTGAACAGTAATAGTAAAATAAATAATAAACAAATGTATAACTGGAAGAATAAATAAATTATCCAACTGGTAAAACCAGTAAGAGAATTTCCTATTTTGAGACTATCTAGGCCCTGACACACATCAACTATACACAATGAAATATAAAGAAATCCCCTACTATTTCCTAAAGCAGAGTTCCAACTGGACGGGTAGCTAATTTGGTGGTTTTCCCTAAAATTCCCTTCTGTTGCAGTAGATAATGGATTATTGTGACTATGTCATTTAGCAAGAATTTTTAAAATTATAGAACTTAGAGATTGACGGTAGTTCATTATCTGTGACTAGAAATAGGACAATAACATAACATATATTTTATATGTCAAATAATAACCTGGCAACCAGTAAAAATACCAACTGACTTCTGTGTAATCTTTTAATGCTGAAAGACTCATTTTTAGTTAGGATAATAGCTTACATATTCATATTATAAAATTTAAGCACACATTAAGAGATTTTAAATTCACAGATGGAGAGGTTAAAGTCAAACTGACAAAAGAAATGATAGTTTGGAAATAATAATAGAAGCATTCAGTTGCTATTACTAGGCTCAGGTATCTGCTCAGGCTGGTGCCCTCCCTGTCCCAAGTCCTTAACCCTACATGAAACCAGGGCACCTACCTTCAATTCACTTTAGGACTACAAAGATCATACAAGTGTTACAGCCAGGTTGAAAACAAATGTGCCCACCTCCCATTTTCAACTGCTACTTCATACTATTTCCTCTTTAAAAAACAAAATAAAACAAAAAGAACATACAAAGCAGGCACTTAAACTGACAGAAGGAACATTTTAGACTAATGATCACTTAGGGAAGGAAAAGAGGAAGAAAAATAACAAAAGAAAAATCAGAGACATTTTAAGACTTACTGGAAATATTCTGGGCTTCCTTTCAACAATGGCATATGGTTTTGTCTGCAATAAAAGTAATGTATTAATTACAGTTTTAGAGTTTCTCCTAAAATAAAATAGATCAAATCCCAAATGTTTAACTTAAGTCCCAAATTTTCACCAAACTACAGATTCATACATCCAACTGTTTAGTCAAGATCTCTGCTTAACTATCAAATTGGCATCTCAAACTTAACCATGTCCAACTCTTCACTTCCCCCAACCCCTAACTATCTCTTATCCCAGTACATGACCCTTGAATTCTGCCAATTAAGAAGGCCAAAAACATTGACTTCTCAGCAGATCCTGTGGCAACCTGACCCTGCCTAGCGATTTCCTGCTCGAATGAGTTTGTTCCTGACTGCTCTCCCCCTACCTCAAGGACTCTCCAGCTAACATCAGTTTTCTCATAGCTTGCCAACCAATTAATGTTCTTCTTTATATCTATAGCTGTGTAGGAATGACAAGACTGTATAAAACCGCCTGTTATGTTACAATCGGGGCTCAGCCTTTGGATAAGAATCCGCTGAGCTGGTGCTGGCATCAATAAACGCTACTTCCTGCTTATAGCTTCGGTGTCCCATCTCTCCGTTCAAGAATCCCTCAACAATCCTGTTGAGGTTATATCCTGTTGAGATCCTACCTTGAGATTATATACAGAATCTGCTTCTCACCACCTCTAGTACTACTACCCTTCATCCAAGCCTCTATCATTTTTCACCAACTAGTCTCCTGGCTTCCATTCATGTCCTCCCACGGTCTATTCTCCACACTGCAGGCAGAGTACAGTGATTCTTTTAAGATGTATTACTCCTCTGCTCAAAGTTTCTTAATTCCTAGAGAAAAAAACAAAGTCCTTGCTGTGATCTCTAAGACTGCACAACCTGGCCCTTGGCCACCTCTCTGAGCTCCTACCTCTCCGTCCCCCTATACTATAGCCATGGTTGCTTTTTGCTATTAGTCCAATCAGTTGCACCTGCTTGAGCCTCAGGGCCCTTGTACTTAATGAGTCCTCTACCAGAAATGCTCTTCTCCTGAATATCTGCTTACTCCATATCCTAGTCTCATTTATGTTTCTCTTCAAATAGCACGCCCCCCTCATTCTCTAGCCTTTTATCCCGCTTAGCTTTTCTTCTATAGACTTATTACCTCCATCATATACCTCTGTTTATCTATGTATTACCAGTCTCCAAGACTAGAATAAATATTTCCTGAGGGCAGGGACTCAACCTGATTTGTTCACAGCTGTATCCCTTTTTTTAGAACAATGCCTTGCACACAGGAGGAACTAAGTAAATATTTGTTAAATGTACTTATTAAGCATATACATCTGCAAGAAATACCAAACCAAAACTTTAGATTACTGGCAGGATGTAAAACTTGGAGAAACTGAAGCCAAATGCAGGAGAGAAACTCAGAACACGATGTGAGGACATTACAGTGTCTTTAAAAATATTTCTCATAATACAAAGTGAAGATATTAAATTGTCTTTAAGAACTGTGGCCAGAAGTGAGAAGACATCGAAATGTCATCAGAGAAAATTGTAAAATTCAAGTAGGCAGTAAAGGTTAGCTAAAGCAAACTGCTTGCAACAGTTACTGAGAATGTAGTCCTACCCAAATCAAGAGAAAGAATAAGGTAAGAAGAGAGAGGCCTTGGGACCTCTACTGACACAAAACCTTTTACTAAATATGTCCATCTCTGGCTCAGGAAAAAATCACCTGGAAATATGAATCCTCAGGTAAACAATCATATTAATGTCTTGAACTGTCAACCCAGTAACTGCAGTGTTAAATTTGCCTCTCTTAGGAAGTAAGTATCTTTTCAATCCCAGAAAAATTTATTAAATATAGATATGAGTTTATATTCACCAGAGTCGAAACAGGTGAATGTCAAATTTAATATGTTCTGAAAACACTGGAACAATCCATATATTCTCTTATTTAAAGTATTTGTAATATTTAAGATAATCTGGCTATTAGCAGTTTTAAAATATTAGTTTTAGGATTCTAGTTAAAATGCATTTCAAAATGCAGTTTAAAACATTTAAGAGAATTTGATTATGTTTTTAAGTGTAATTATTTTAGGAGAGTTCAACTTGAATTAATCCAAAAATAATAACAAAGAAAGGAGACTTCATATTTTACCAGATGTATAGGTAGTTTAACAGAATTTTTAAAATGAGTTTAAAGAATTAGAAAAAAAGGAAGTTTATAAACTTGAAACTAACTGAATATTAATTTATATTACAGATAACTCTTGAATGTTAAAAAAAAAAAAATTGAGAGAAAGCTGTATTTTTATTCTCCAGGGTCTTGCAAGTTAAGAGAGTGAAAAAATACAGACCTATAATGATATGAAGTGGCCTGTGGACTTGCAGGTGATCTTAAATATAAAACCTTGTTTGAGCCCTTAACAATAGAAATATAAACTACATGACCCTTACACATATAAATTGTTAGCCCTCTTTAACGGCTGTAGAAACATTATTCTGTTGTGTGTGTGTGTGTGTTCATGTGAAAGCACTAAACTCCAACTCTTAATTGCTACTAGCCTCCACTAATCACATAAGACAGGCCACGTCCACATGGACATCCCCAGAAACTGATATGGCAACACATACTCCTAAACAAATTTACTTCCTACCCCATGACCAGAATGCTCACCTTTCCAAAACTCTACTTATAACTTCCAAGGCTAGAAATTTTAGAGCCATAAATGACTCTGAACTTTGGTTTCGTCACCAACTTAACTTGAGCTATTTCTTCCTTAAAAAGTGTCTCTGGCTTCACTTTTTTTTTCCCATTCTTGCTATCTTTGCCCTAACCAGATTCTCAACAACATCTGCTAAACTACAACAAAATCCAGCTGATGTGCCTTACGTCAATATTTTCCTCCTACCAATTCACCCTACATATCGATGTTTTTCATTTTCCTAAATTTATCATTTTTATCAAGTTACTCAGCTATTTAAAAATGGAAAGTTTCCCACTGCCTACCACATACACTTCAACCTCCTCTGCCTAGCTTTCAAGACATTCCGTTAAGTGGTCCCCAGGCTACTAAGCCAAGAGACCTGCTATTCTAGTCATCTCAGTCTTGGGTAGACACGGCCATGCTCATTACTGACTCCTTATTTTTCTTTCTGACTAGAGTAACTTTTCTCCAACATACTCTTAACCAAATCATACCTATCTTCCAACTTTATTATAAACTCCTTGAGGTCAGGAATTTTGTCTTATATATTTTCTATAACAATAAAATTGTAAAACAACATACTAGGCACTCCATATTTGTTGACCAAAAAATATAATCTGCTTAGTGAAGAGAACAAAGATGTCAGCAATCAGAATTTTAAAGAGACCACATAATCAACAGAGAACAAGTCGTGTTAGAGGAAATTTTCTGAGAAAACCAGTTATTTGTTTCACTTTCCTTTCAACAGGCTAACAGAAAGCAAACCTCAACTGAATTATTTACAATTTGTTAGGTAGTCCCAAACTTTTGTTTTGTTTTTATCTTGAAATAATTTTAAACTTAAAAAAAGATGTAAAAATCATAAAAATATATATATATACACATATATATATATTTTTTTACCTAATCACTTCATAGTAAATTGCTGACATAGTTTATTACTTTAGGGTGTATTGCCTACTAATAAGGATAATATTCTTTAAAACAATCACAATACAGCCATCAAAATCAGGAAATTAACATTGATACTTTACTACCTTCTACCTAGTCTAAAGAACCCATTCAAATTTACCAACTGTCTCAGTAATTGTTTGAAATTCTCAGGAAAATCCCCTCTTACATGTCTTGTTCTCCACTGGGTAGGCTCTTTAAAATTCCGACTGCCAGTACCATCTTTGTTCTTTTAACTAAGCCCATTCAAGAACTGCATTTAGTTGACATGTCTCTTTATTTTTCTTCAATCTGGAATGACTTTTTAGTTAATCTTTAACCTTCATGATCTTGACATTTTTTAAGATAACAAGCCAATTATTATGTAGAAAAGTCCCTCAATTTGGGTGTGTCTTGTTTCCTATGAGTAGATTTAGATTACGCATTTTTGGCAGGAATATTGAAACATGGATGCTATTTTCTTTTTACTGCATCCTATCAAGTAGCACACAATTTCAATTTGTCCCATTACTGGGAATGTTAATTTAGATTTCTTGATTAAGCTGATGTCTGCCAGGTTTCTCTACCACAAAATTACCCTTTTTACCTTTGTATCAAGTAAGTATGTTGAAGATAGGTATTTTGAGATTAACCTTAGCATCTTTTGATGTTCTTTAGCTGAATAAGGTATTACTATAATGATTCACGAATGGTGACTTCTAATTCCATCATTCGTTGTCCATTTATTATTTAGCGATCTCGTACAAAAAAAAGCTTTCTTTTACCCATATATTAATTCATTTACTTATTTATATAAGTATGGACTCGTGGATTTAGATTTTATTTATTCGGTTATCTATCATCTATTACTATCATTATTTATTTTTATGTTCATATTGTCCCAGTGGGAGTCCTTTCAGGCTGACTCTGTGTCCTTTTGGTATATCTTCTATCATTCTTTGAATAGTTTTTTACTTTCTAACACCCCAAGCTCATCTTGTATTTTCCCTGCCCCAGTCCTGGAATCAGCCATTTTTCCAAAGAGCTCTGGATCCTTTCAGTGGAGAACTTTATTTAGAAAATAAGACCAGGATGCTAGATGTGCTAATTACCATGGGGTAACACTGCTGCTGCCAGGTGCTGTCAGTGGACAGAGCTAGGGAATATCTACACTAACATCTATAATTACTTCTATATCTATTAGTACTTATTAAAAACCACGTGTTAACACCAATACTTCCAATTCCATTACAGCAACATAGGATTTTCTCCCTTACTATATGTGTAATTCCCTTTTCCAACAATGAGAATCCTGGGTCCCATCATCATCACTATATACACTCATCTGATCAATCTTCTTGTATATAAACGATCGCCTGTCATCACCACCACATTGCAATATAAATAACCTCTTCACCTCATTCAAGTTCTGACATTTCATTCTGCATTGCCACCTCCATCAATGCTCCAAACCACCCTTCTTCCAGATGTCCTCCTCCCCCTGCGCAGGTTTCTAAATCCTACACTAGGCTGCTGCACTGCTACTCTCCAAACAGGTGTACTCACCAGCTCCCTCAAAACCCACCCACCCAGGATCTAACATTCTTCAATGAGTACAAGAATGCTGTCCTACTCTGGGTTACAACATTCCATGCTGGACAGCCACCACTTCTCTCCCTTCCATGACACTCCCTGAAATGCACTCCTTCCTCACCCTGCCTGGGATCCAACACCCTACACCAGTCTATCCTTAGCCTTTAAAATAAGGCAACTGGCTCGGTTCAATCACTACATGCAAGATCTTCCAGTGAAAAAGTTCAAGCTTTTGAACATCTTGGATTCTAATGATGACAGAATGAAGAAATGGGAAATGGGATGGTGACAAAGATAACTACTATCTATTTTAATTTTACTTTATACCAAATCTATGCTCAAAAAAAGCAGCAGAAATCCTTTTCTCCCTTCTTACTCATGACCCTGAGTTTACACTAGTATTATTAGGTCAACTACATTCTGATCATTTAAACACTGATCATTTCAAATTGTAAACAACTAATATAATGATTAACTTTTTGAAAAACCATACATTACTTAAGTTTCATTAAACCTTTTACCTAAAAGGATTCAAAGTAGTTAAAAAATCAGTTACAACTGGCAGATTATTTTCACTACGTAAAGCAGGGTAAGGCATACCCACATAGGGAGCAATTTTGTACAATATTAAAAATAAATTCTGAAAAACACATATTTAAAACATACTTACATTCACATGATATTTGAGATAATAATGAATAATCCAGGCAGGTATAAGTATATGAGTAAAAGCAAGGAAACTGTGTCGGTATGTCTTATAGATCTGCGAGGGGGAAAAACATACACAAAATAAACAGATATTCCATCTTTCACATTTGTGGCAGGAAAAAAACATCAATAATATAACAATGTCATGATTATTTTAAAATCTCTACATGCTACATATTTCCTTATAGCCTGTAGCTAACCTCACCCATTCAAATATTTTTACTAAAAATGGGGCCTGCTAGGAGAAACCTATAAAGTTCAGGGTAAATGAGGCTTAAGACAAGCAGCATTTTGCAAAACTATAATAAGGCATTTACAGATTTAAAAAAAAACCCTCTAAAAATATTATATATTTGTTAAAGATAAAACATGGCATACATAATGAAAAAATAATTTTAATCAATTTAACCAAAGTAATCAAACATACAGAATTTTTCAGGTAAAGTCATCTCCCAAATTTATCAATTTCAGATACCTACAATTAACACCACTTGCATCATTCTGGGGGTAAGGCAGGCAACCTGAACACATTGATACTGGAAAAGGAGTGTTTTACATACTGGGATAAGGGTGTTCCAAGCTCATTTTGAGACACCTTCATACTATTGTGAAAGAGAAAGGTAAAAGAGAACTAAAAAATGGAACTCTTCCATGGCAACCAATTTGACATACACACTTATCCATCCAGGGAAAGGATTCTAAGTATTATATTAGATAGATAATGATTATAGAAGAAAAATTAACTCATGGTAAGATGAATTTCAACCCATGATTATTTACTTCCTTACATCACGAGCTGATGGGTGGGATGTCAACTTTCAAGGAGTGGCTGCCAAAATCAACAAGTAATGTCAAGGATATGAAGAGTGAGAGAAAGGTAGGATTAGAGTTTACCACCATAAATATGTCTAATACCACTTTTTCAGAAAAATTTGCACCAGATTTTGTAGGACAGTAAGAAAATAGATACACATGAATTTCAATGTGAACTCTAATTCCTAGCTCTGTGACCATGGGTAAATCACTGAATTTTTGTAGGCCTCGGTTTCCACTCATTTAAAGTAAGAATTAGGAATAGTTTTGTACCTTATAGGAGTAAAGAATTAAAGTAACATGTAAAACCCTCAGCAAAGTGCCACCCATAAAGTAAAAACCCAAGTGTTACTTATTAGTATTACCATTATTATCTGCCAATGTCATAGCTGACAGAAAGCAATTCTGAGATATAGTGTTCATCACCCATAATTGATGTGATTGAATTAACAACTTCAAGAAAATGTCCAGAGACCCTGAAAATAATGACAGGTCTTGAATGAGGAATTTTCTGCAGAGTAAAGTCCAGGAATGGCATTTTTAAATGAAAATGTGTGTTAAAAGTACATAGCTGTAGCTGAGAAAGGTGGTCTTGAATATGACCCTGTCTTTTATGGTGATCCTACGGGGGCTGTACTACCAGCTAGACGCTTGTTGTGCCTTCTGGTAGTTAGTTGGGAGTAGTGTAGTTGGTCTCTGTAACCTTGACCTTAAAAATCAGACAAGTGTCCTCAAATACTAAAATCATAGAATTTTAACTACTAAATCCTTCGCTATCATTCTGAGGGGAAGATTTCTGCAGTCAAAGACCCAAACGTGCAGCGTCCTGTAAAACCTAAGCAAAGATTCGCTTCTTTCTCATCCCACTTGACAGCAAAGGGGCATGACTCTTCCAAAGCCATACATGCTCTTCGACTCTTGACTCCCAGTCCAGGACTCTTGAGACAAAGCAGCTTCCCCGCTAAACCTAAATCTCAGTTGAACCTGATTTTTCCCTCGGGGAACCACCAGGACTTGGTGCGCAGAGCGAAGTCTGCCCTTGATGTGGCTATAAGCAGCAGGCGTCCCAGGTCGCCGCGGGTTGTGTGTATGGTAGCGGGGAGAACCATCACTCACCACGTTCTTCCAGGGGGCCTGGTCCTGCAGAAACTTATTCCAGAATCTCTCCATAGGCCACACCCTCTGTGGGGGCCCCACTGGCTCCCGCGGGGTCAGCTCCTGGTCCTTCAGCCATCTCCTTCTCAATTCTCGTAGCTGCTGCAGCCGCAGCTTCTCATCTGCCGTGTACCCCGTCATGTTGCCGGTGGTACCCAGACAGAAGGAAACGGCGCGCCCCTAAACTAGGGTCTCGCCCCTTAGGCGCGTTCTCGCTCTGCAAAGCGACCTTGCGAGGACGCCTGGGCACCGCGCGCTGTTATAACGTCACCGGTTCTACCTCTGCGGCGGCTCCAAACACCGCGTAGTGACTGAGCATGCGCAGAGCCTGCACTGGCCGCTTGATGGGCCCAGATTACTCCGGAGAGGGTGGGCGGAGCGCTTTAGTTGGGTTTAGATGGGAAGAGACACATAAGAAGAAAGTTTGAAAGGTGAGAGGTCTAGACGTTCGAATATGGAAGAACTGCTGTGCTGGGAGCTGGAAGGGTGCAAATATGTGATTCATTGAATGCGATGTCCCAAAGTAAATTCACTTTACTCTCCCACCTTGGAATTCCTCCCAGCGGTGTCAGTGAGTGTTAAAGTGACTTGAGCAGCTATCTATCTCAGTATGTTCCTTCATTTGTACTTCGAAAGTAAAAGGAGTAGTTTAAGGTCTAGGAGAATTGGACGCATACACACGTTGACACGGCAATTCCACTTCTAAGACTCTGTCTTAAAGACATAGTGGTAAAACTGTGAAAGGAATGTGCATGGCTATTCAGTGCAGCCCTATTTGTAATAAAATAGTGGAAATTACCCCAAAATTCCTCGATAGAGGACTGGTTGAATATGGTACAATAACAATGCTCAACATGCAACCGTGGATTACCTTAGGTATGTTAAGTGAAAAAAGCTAAGGAGAGAGAAGTGTGTATATTATGTTACCTTTTATCTTCAAAAGGGAGGGTGGTAGCAATACTAAATATATATATATGTTTGCTTAAATTTAAAAAATAATGGAAAGGAATACTTTTTTTTTTTTAACCTCTATGCGAGGAAGGGGATAGAATAGAAGAGACAGGGATGGAAGCTAAACTTCTCTGAATATATCTTATTTAATAGATTTGACTCAAGAAACATGTAAACATTTCATATCATTAAAACAAATTTATAATAAGCAGTCTATAAAAATCAAAATTAATCTGCTTGGTGGCATAATCTCAAAAACACACTATTTCAAGTAACTTTAAACATCTTTAGAGATATATACCCGAAAGACAAAAAGAACTACAAAAAAATCTTCAGCTGTTTTAAACAATCATATCCTTGGTAGTGATGGTAACGGTGGCATTGTTTATCTGACACGGAAAATAAATGTTCATGCTGGAACTTTTGCAATGAAAGAAAGGAAATACAAATGTAAATTGTATATGTTTATGTAAAAATTCTGTAGTCCTGAATTTGAATAGAATCATCAACTCACAACGTATTTCTTTAAATATGTATTTTATCTTATCTCAGCTCTGCCTATTGAACGGTATAAAAACAATGGCCGACCTAGTAACCATGGATATTTTTAACTCCTACAGTGATCTCTAAATACTATTTTCCATTAAAAGGAACTGGGTCTCCTTGGAGTAGAAGTTCACATTTTGCCCCCCAGATTTCGAACTCTTAAAAATTGTTGAGGACCCCAAAGAGCTTTTGTTTATGTGGCTTATATCTACTAAATTAGAATTGCATTAGGAATTAAAACAGATTTAAAAATAACAAAATATCATTAACAAAAATTACTTAATAAGACTAGTGCCATTGTTTTACATTTTTGTGATTTTTTTTTTTGATGCCTGGCTTAATAAATGACAGCAGAATTCTTAAAACCACTTCTGCATTCAACTATAATATCACATCATATAACCTTTGGGAAACTTCATACACATTTGTAAGAGAATAAGAGTTAAAAAGGGCAAATAGCATCTCAGTATTATTATAAAAATAGTTTGACCTCACAGACCCCATGAAAGTATCACAGGCACTCCCACAGGTCCCGAATTATGCTTTTGAAAGCATTGCCTTTGAGAAATAGCTAATTCCAGGTCCAAACTATGAAATGTAAAAAGAAGCCTGGACCTTTTTGTCTTAGCAAAAAGCAGGTAAATTTTTAAAGATTAGTAGAGTTGTGTCAAAAAGGATTCAGGAGCCAACTTAAATAGATGTCCACTTGTCCAAGATGGAACAATTTGAGCATCATTACGTATAATGACATCAGAGGATTAAAAAACATATACACATATAAGTTCATAATGATTTTAAAAAACTCATTGGTCACTTTTTGGTGGTGTTAGAGAATCAACTCTTTATTTGGAAAACTGGTAAGTAGAGGAAAAGTTAAGCATTTTTCGGCCCTCTCTATACAAATTGCATCTTAGAATAGCAATATAGTTGATGAGGGGCAATTTCTTCAAAGAAACATAAAAAACTAATAAAAGAAGAGATGGCAGAGTTAGAATATCACTATTTTGCAACGATTAGTTTATTAATGAATGCAGTGATCGATAGCTACTGACATCTCAAAAAGAGAACTGCGCCTCTCGGTGGAATGCTGCCTCATTGCCTGTGAAGTAGCCTTGCCAAACAAAAAATTGAACCTGAATCTGATGGTTTCTAGATCTACCTACTCATTTAATGAAAATATAGGGGACAGAGGAGCCCCTATAAAACACCAATATGACACATGTAGAAAAATCCAGATTGTATAAACTGCAGAGAAGCGACTCTGTTTCTTAAATTATTCAAGGAGAAAAAGAGAACCCATAGATTAAAAGAGACAATGATAACTCTACAATAAGAAAACAAACAACCAGATTAAAAAATGGGCAAAAAACCTTAACAGACACATCACCGAAGAAGACATACAGATGGCATGTAAGCATATGAAAAGATGGTCCACATCATATGTCATCAGGGAAATGCAAATTAAAACAAGACGCCAGTATATACCTAGTAACATGGCCAAAATCTGGAACACTGATAACATCAAATGCTGAATAGGATGTGGAGCACCAGGAACATTCATTCATTGCTGGTGGGAATGATGCAAAATGGTACAGACAATTTGCAAGACTGACAGTTTCTTATAAAACTAAACACACTCTTACCATAAGGTCCAGCAATTTCATTCTTTGGTATTTACTGAAAGGAATTGGAAACTTATGTCCACACAAAAACCTGCACATTAATGTTTAGGGCAACTTAATTCATAATTGCCAAAACTTGGAAGCAACAAAGATGTTCTTCAGTAGGTGAGTGTATAAATAAACTGTGGTTCATCCAGACAATGGAATAGTTAGTATTCAGTGCCAAAGAAGAAATGAGCTATCAAGCCATGAAAAGACGTGGAGGAATTTTAAGTGCACATTACTAAGTGAAAGAAACCAGTCTGAGAAGGCTATACACTGTGTGAATCCAATTATATGACATTCTGGAAAAGGGAAAACTACGGAGACAGTAAAAGGATCAGTGGTTGCCAGGGCTGGTGGTGGTGGGAAGATGAATAGGCAGAGGATTTTTAAGGCAGTGAAACTATTCTGTATGATATTGTAATGATGGATATATGTTATTATACATTTGTCTAAACCTACTGAATATGCAACACCAAGAGTAAACCCTTCCTTAGGTAAACTATTGACTTTGGGTGATTATGATGTGCAGTTTCATCCTTTATGTTTAAATAACATTTGCAAATCTTGAGTATTATTGTAAAAGTGGAAATTCTCCAGTTTCAGGGATGTGATATCTCCAGGCGCCAGCCCCAGGAGAAGCGCAACATTCCAAGGCGCAGATGATAAAACTGTCTACTAGGCCCTGTTTGATCTGAGAGTCCCCCGAAGCGCAACTTTTATCTTTGTACAAAACGTTACCGGCTAACTTCTGCTTCTTGTAATCTGCTTATTCAAGGATGTAGTATAAGCTGCCTCCTCTGGAAGCTCGGGGCTGATTTCCTCTAACCCTGCGAGGTAGAGAGTCAGTCGCTGGCCGGCTAATAAAGGCTCATAATTAATCTCAATTGGCTCCATGGGTCTTAGAATCGTTCGTGCCATAACACTGCTGAGTGATGTTGATAATAGGGGAGGCTATGCATGTGTGAGAGGAGGGGGTATATAAGAAATCTCTGTTCCTTCTTCTCAATTTTTTTGTAAACATAAAACTGCTCTAAGAAAAGTCTTTTTTAAAAAAAGACAATGAAGGAAATTCAAATTTTTTATGATATTAAGAAATCATTGTTAATTTTTGTATGAGATATTTTTAAAGGAGAAGTCATCTTTTTGAGATACCTTCTAAATTATTTATGGGTGAAAGGATATGATGTCTGAAATTTACTTAATAACTGGAGAGGGAGAAATCAATATGGTGGAAATAAGAATAGTAATAAATTGGTACTTGCTGAAGGTGTCCGATAGGTAAATGAGGATTATTTATACTCTTTTCATATACTATTTTGTATATGTTTGAAATCTTCCAAATAAAAAATTCTTCCAAATAAAACATTTTAAAGACCTATGCCTTGAAGTAGTAAGAAAACTGCATTTAAGCTATTCTTAATCCTCATTCTGTTTTTTAACAGCTACATTTTGGATTACAATTCTCCAGCCTACTTAGGCTAGAGCTCTCAACTTTGTTATGATGAGATCCAAATAATTAGTACTGAAGTGGGAGTAAGTCTCTGAGTGCTTAATCATCCCAGGAAAGACTGTATTTAGGTCCTCAGTCAGGCATTTGATAACCCGAATAAATATTCCCTTTGTGAGAAGAATTAAAGACATCTAGCAGTTTCTTGAATTTGGGATCTTCTCGCTGACTTACTCTGGAAAATTACTATCCTTTCCACACCTCCCACCACCACCCTATTTAAAAAGAAAGAAATGAAATCAATATTGTTATGGAAAATATATCCTTATACCACTGTCTACTAACTACCATATTTCCACCCCTTCTCATTTACCTATGGCTGTGAAACCCATGAAGATGAGTTGAATTAAAAAAGAGCAAAATAGAGGAGTATGTTCAGCTTAACACCCCTGGTAAATGTGTACTCACAAAATCAGATGGTCTTGCAGTACCTAAATTATTACTGAATATTCCCACAAGGGGGCACTCTAGTTTGCTGAAAAATTAATGCAATTAAATTGGGTTTTATATAAAGTTTCATTAACCAGCCCATAAAACTTCGAAGGAGCACGTTTGGCATGACTACAGCTGTCTTACTATTCTTCTCAGATTAATATAGCAGAATAAGTTGACTT